GTCTGGGGGAGCGTTAGTGCCTTGTTTGAGATGACGCTGGCGTTGGATGTTAGGGAAGGGCGGCAGCGAATTGTGTGAGATGTAGAGAGTAACTGCTTCCCCCCCCCGCCCCGCCCCCTGAGTACTTCCAGGTTGTCCCCAAAATCACTCCAACTGTTGCCAAAGATTTGGGCTGAGTTTTTTTTCCCGAGATGTTTAAATCCAGAGATATTGAACTGCTCTTTGAGTCCCTGACTGTTCTTTATTAAAGCCTGGTGTTTTCTAAGGAGTTTAAGCGCGTGCTGTCGTTTTCCTTGTTTCCTTGGAAAAGTGGTGTTACCTTGTTCTTTCTCTGTCTTGGATTTTGTAGCGAAAATGCTGAGTTTTTTCCGGCGAACCCTTGGACGGCGGTCTATGCGCAAGCATGCGGAGAAGGAACGGCTAAGAGAAGCCCAAAGAGCTGCAACCCATATCCCTGCAGCTGGGGACGCAAAGTCCGTCATTACCTGTCGAGTGGCACTGCTGGACGGAACAGATGTCAGCGTGGACTTGCCGGTACGGCGATGCGGGATTGCTTTTTAAATGCTGTTGGCTAACGTCAATCTGTTTGTGTTCTTTGTAAGTTAGGCAAAGGCACGTCTGTTCGTCACAGCAACCAACTGTGCGTCTTGGGTTCCGTTTATTGGTCAGAAATAGGTAATGAAAGAACAGTTAATTTTGTTATGCGCTGATACTAGATAGCGTGTCCTTAGATGCTATTGTGTTCTCTATCTTCAATGCTCTCTGGCATGTTAAGGAATTGTTCGCTAATGCTTAGCTTAAGTGAGCACGATAACGTTTAGATGGACGGGATTTTCTTTTCTGTGTGTTAGACGTGCATGTTGAGAAGGAAGGTAGATGTAGCTCTGTTGGCGTAGCTCAGCTGAAGGGGAGCGATGAGCAGAAGGGATGCGAGACTGGGAAGGACGCAGTTTCAGAAGGTATTTGGCAGCCTTCTACTGGATGTATGTGTAGCCAGTCGCTGTTGATACATGCACGGCTCCTGGAAATTGGCATTTTAGGATTTGTGTATGATTTTTTTGAATTCTAAAATAATTTCTATGTGGGTTTTGGTTTGTTCTTTTTGTTTTTGCGCCAGGCACGGATGCAGTTTTTACGTGAGCATGAGAGAGGAGAGAAGAGTTTTACTTTATTTTTCTTACCAAGGCAGAATACATAGCAAGGATGGTCTCATAGCATAGAGCTTCGCTATGAGACAGGTTTTAGCCACTGTTTTACATTTGTACAACTCACTTAGTGTGCACGTGTCTCTTTCCTTCCTCTTAATTATATATCCAACAGGTATTACGTATCTTAATTACGTATCCTGGCCAACAGGACAAACAGTAGTGACAGAATTGATGCACTCTAGTTTTCTGTTTCCACGTGTTACAGTTGTTAGTGTTGTTTGGAGCTCAGGTAGCTGAGTTAGGAAGCTGTGGGTCAGCAGAACCTTCAGATTAGCTCTGTGAAATTTTAGCTTTAATAGCAGTTGCGTCAACAATGGAGCTGCTGGCTAGGAGGAGCGTGCAGAGTAGGCTTTCTTAAAATGACCTTTCTCTTTCTCCCTTTCTAATTTTAAGCACAATTTTAGAATGATTATAACGTTAGGTAGTCTGAGGAAAGCTCAAATTGTTAGAGCTTTGAGCGGTGTTGTAGCGGGTGGAAATATCTGCTGCAATAACCGGAACGCCTGTAAGCGTGGAGCTGAAGAAACAGTTTTGCATCTCCGTTTGCAAAATGACTATGCAAGTAGGTGTTTATAGAGAGCAGTAAAATTAGTTTGTACGTATCTGTATAGCTCACTGAGACAATATAATGAACATACCTACTGCTGCTTAGTTCCTAGGAT